ACCCCGAGGGAGTTAGGCAGGGTCAGGAGCTGTGAAGCTTTGTTGATGCCATCACTATCTAGAAATAACAAAGTAGTCTTTCCCAGGAGTTGTCATCCTCCTGGTGAAAGTACAAACAGGCTCATTAGTCACTGCTAATACATGGTGTCCCCGTGTAGACCATCTCTTCAGCACATGAAGTCCCCAAAGCATCCAGCATTTCCCTGAGCTGTGATGACTTGGCACATTGCTCACAGCCATTCTCAGGTCTGTCTGGGGACTTTGGTAGCTGTTGTCCTCAAGGTTCCTATGAGTGTGAGCTGTATCCCTAGGGGGTGGGGGGAGGGCAGAAGTCCTCAGTCTTAGGAGAGAGGAGTTTGGAGTTTGTGCTCTTAGGCTTGTCTTCTCTCTTGCCTCTACCATCACTATGGCATAGGATATAATCACTCTCGCACTGTGTTTTTTTGTCTTGTTGTAATTTTGCTGTTATATAGTGTCTGAATCAGGGCATTGATGAATGGGACAACCTAGTAAAGAAACCAAAATAGGTGCTCCGTAGGTGGCAAAGGGCAGTTTTTTCCCAAACTGCCAATGTTTGTCTCTCAGGAAAATGGGGAGGAAAGTCTCCAGGGTTCTAAGAGAATGGATACCTGGGAGGAAGGGAGCCTGTGAGCTAGAGTGGGAGTTTTGAAGTGAATAATTAGCACTTGTGTGGAGGGACTTTGGGAGTCTGGAAACCAGCATGGACCTTAATATGCTGATAGGCACTACACACACAAGTTAATGGAAGAGCCCTATGTCCCTTTTGATAGAGATAAGGAGAATGTCTTTTTGGCAAGTGTGAACTAGCTCCAACAGTTCCTGAGGGGATGCCTGCTTCTGTCTAACCAGAATTTGGGAAAAGGAGTTTCTTTGGACTTGATAATCCTCATCCCCCCTACCTCCCCCCTTGGTAGGGTCTCAATATGTAGTCCAGACTAGTCTTAAACTTGTAATCTTGTCCCTGCTTCCCAAGAGCTGGGGATACATGTGGTACCTCCATACCCAAGGAAGTATCCTCTGTTGGGTTTATAACAATAGTTCAATTGAAATGACCCTCATAAACTGGGTTGGGTTTTGTTTTTTGTTTGTGTTTGTTTTGTCTCATGTAACTAATTAAATTTTGGCTGCAGCTCACAGAAAGCAAGGTAGAGAAGGGACTCCATTGTGCCTGTTTTGTCTTCAAGGATGCTGTTTGTTTATTCACCAGGAGAAGGAAGACCTCCAGGGAACTGGAACTCAATTGTTACCCAAGAAAAGGTCAGGAAAGTGCATTTCCTGACTGTTTTCTGCAGATTGGTATGACTTGTACATTCAATGGCAAGTATTTACTGAAACCTCACCAGATCCAGGCTCCCAGCTCTTTGCAGTGGGGTATACATTATTCCTGTACTCCCAGCCCTTGACATGGAAGCAAGTCAATGATGGGCCTCCTGTCTGAGCACTCACTGGCTCACAGAATATTACATTCTTAGTGATGCAGACTGCAGAAAAGTCTCCTGCATAAGAAGCTTTGACCCAGTGCGAGAACACAAAGACACTTAGATGTAGACACACTCACCATCTCAGCTCTGGATTTCTTTCCATCCCTGTGTGCTATTTTCACAGGCATGGACTTGCCTGGCTTCTTTTTAGCTTTTTTGTTTTGTTTTGTTATTTGAGACACTGTCTCATGTAGCTCAGATAGGACTCAAACTTGTGTAGTTTAGACTGACCTTGAACTGCTGTTGGTTGTACCCTATGCCTACCAAGTGAGCCACCACACCCAGCCTTTTTCTTTCTCTTTTGGTTATCATATCTACTTATCTATCTATCCATCCATCCATGTATCGATCATCTATCTATCCATCTATGTATCTATGTATGTATCTTTCTATACATCCATCCATGTATCCATCTATCACCTACCTAGCTATCCATCATCTATCATCCATCCATCCATCCATCCATTCTTGCTAAGGACTGAATCCAGAGCCATGAACATTACTACTGTGTCACTTTTCTAGCTTCCCTTTCTCCTCTGTGCTACCCTCGAGGCTGGCTTCAAAGTCCAATTTTTCTTCAAAATTAAAAAAAAAAAAAAAAGAAGAAGGAAAGGAAGGAAGGAAGAAAGAAGGAAAAAGAAATTATTCCATTATTTATTTCCATGATGCATGAGTAGAGGTCAGAGAACAACTTGTGGGAGCTGGTTCTCTCCTTCTACCAAGGGGTCAAACTCAGGTCAAGCTCAGGTTGTCAGGCTTGACAGCAATCAATTTACCTACTGAGCTGTCTCATCTGCTCCTGTTCCTTATCTCTCCCCCCCCCCCATGCTGTGATTTCAGGCATGCACCACAATGCTCAGCTATCTTTTGTAGACTTATATTTTTGTAGTAATGGACCCTGTATTACAGGTCCTCATGTAAGCTAGGAAAGTGCTCTAACCATAGCCTTCAAAAGTCCTTTTGTGATGAGCTCTTACTATGTTGTCTTGCACTCACTCTGTAGCCTAGATACGTGATCTCCAACCTCAGCCCAGAATAGCTGCAAGTACAGACCTGTGCTACCAAGTTGGCTTATCCTTCATCAATCACTACCATAACAATAGTTATCAATACATCTTTGGGCACAGGTAAAAGATCAGAAAGAAAAACAGAGACTTCCAGAAGTCCAGAGTGAAGGCAATTCACCATGCCCTGCTGCCCATCTGGATGGTGCTCTGTGTGCCGGAGCCTCCAGTTCCCTGTCATGTCCCTGTACAAACTCTAGCACCATAGCATCCTACCCATCCTAGGGAGTAGGCCTGTCACTGGTCACCATCGCAGAGGACATGTTTTCAGCACAAAGACAAGGATTTGAATTTGGAATGCACCACTCATATGTCAAATGCTCAAATTCATGATTATCCTGCCTCTACCTCCTATTCTGGGAAATAAGAAAACATGAGACAGAAAAGTGAGTTAAGAGGAACACCCTGCTTTTGACCTTCTCTGAGAAATAAGGAGGACCCTGCCTGGTTCAACCCTTAATAGTTGAACTTCTCTGCAATTCCACAACTGAACTGTAGGTGGCAGTGACCACCACCTTTCCCCATTCCCTCTCACCAGGGAAGGGTATGAGCATCCTTCAAAAGCATGCAAATTCTTAATTTAATCCTTAATTTTTTCTTTGCCACCCAAGCACACTTGATTATTTATTATTATTATTATTTTTATTTTTTCAGAGGGGAGAGTTTTTTGACAGGCTCTCTCTACATAACACTGGCTGTTCTGGAACTCAGAGATATGCCTGCCTCTGGCTCTGGAGTGCTATAAAGAATGGCATGCACCACCAAGCCCAGCTTTAAAACATTTCTTTTAAAAAAAAAAAATATTAACACTCAGGAGGCAGAGTCAGGAAGATCTTGGAATCTGAGGCCAGCTTAGTTTACAGAGCCAGTTCCAGGACAGCCAGGGAGTGAGTGCTACACAGTAAAACCTTCTCCAAAACCAAAATTTATTGTTTTATGTTATGTATTACCTACATGTATGCCTGTGTACCTACATGTGTGCAGAAGGCTGCAGGGGCCTCAGATCCCCTGTAACTGGAGTTATAGATTATGAGCATCAAGGTGGCTGCTGGGAACCAAACCCAGATCTTCTGGGAATAGGAGCAAGTGCCCAGCACTGAGCCATCTCTCCAGTCCCCAATTATTTGGGTGCCCATTTTAGTGTATTTGATTTTTGCCTCCACCGTATGCATGATGAGCCCACACAGATCAGAAGAGAGCATTGGATCCTCCCAAACTGGAGTTATGAGCTGAGAACTGAACCCAAGTCTTCAAGAAGAAAAGTGTTAAGTGCTGAATCATCTCTCCAGCCAGGTTGGTTTTTTTGAGACAAGGTCTTGCTATGTAGCCCTGGCTGGTCTGAAAGCTGACATCTTCCTGCCTCAGACTATCACATGCTAGAAATACAGGTATTTATCATCATACCTGGCTGAAATGTTTTCCACCTGAGTCTTGGGGATCTAATTCAGGTCACAATATAGTGTTTTGCTGGCCCTGAATTTTTTTTTTTTTTTTTTTTAAACACACACACAAATCTTACATCATTGCCAGGAAACAAAGTTAGACAGTTGTGAGCCCCATTGTTGGTTCTGGGAATCAAAACTGGGTCCTGTAAAAGAGCAGCCAGTGCTTTTTTTTTTTTTTTTTTAAAGGCAGGGTTTCTGTGTAGCCCTGGCTGTCATGGAACTCACTCTAGATCAGGCTGGCCTGGAGCTCAGAGATCCACTTGTCTCTGCCTCTTCAGTACTGAAATTAAACACTAGTGCCATCACTGCGCCGACTGTTTTTTTAACATAAATACAATGAAATAGTAAGACAAAGCGATGTTGTTAATACAACGCTGCCTTATTTTTCTGTATGTAGGTAGAAGTGAAATGGGGAAGCAGGGAGTGACATGCTCTACGTTCTAGCCACTGACTACTTGCCCCTGAATGCTAGGCTCCTAGTGGGTATCAGCCCCTAGGGACCACCTAGGGGCTCAGTGTTCTCAGGTGCACACACTGTTTAGAAGTATGTACAGACTAAGCTGACATCTCTATCTACCTAGTGATAATATGGTCAAGTCACATAAAGCCTGACACTGATCTCTCCTCAGAGCCCTGAACTACTTAGTAACTTTGCATGATGGGAGTATTAGGCAGCTGTAAAAACAATAAGCAGCTGATGGGAATGAACTATCTTGGGTTGAGTATATATTTAATAGAAGGAATTTTCCTGAATTTGATTAATACACTGCAGTTATATAAATGATCTTCTTTCCCCAGAAGACACATACTGTATGTAAAGACACCAAATGTTAGTCAAGTATGGACCCAAATGAAAGGCTGTGATGTGGATTTACTATATTAATTTCCTGGATGACTGAACTGTTTTGCTTTTGGGGAAAAAAAAGTTAAAAACTCAAAGCTTTATTATAGAATACCTATAATTTCTGGCAAAAAAAAATAATCTATAATTGGTTTTCAGATATATGTCATGTTAGCATCCATGTCCACCACAGATACAAGAATTTAAACACATCTGAGCCGGCCATCAAAGTTTATTAGGAAAAGATTGCCATTTAGGTATCTCTTCTTTGAACTTGAGGCTCAATGTTTGCTCCAAGGTACCCTTCTTTCTGCTTCAAGTTTGTTCCCTTCTCACAGCCAGGTCTTGGCTCTGGATGCTCATATGCAGGGCAACCATGTTGTACTGCAACCCCATGCAGCAGAGTCTCAGGCAGTCCAGAGAGCCCCGGAGTACTGCTTCTGTGCAACTGGTGTGCAGAAAAGACATTCCAGGTTTCCTCAGCAGCCAGCTGCAATCTGCTTTGCCCGCAGGGCTTGCAATGTCACCTTTTCTTTACAAACTTCTTTCTGGAAGCATTGGGATTTAAGCGTCTCCGCCCAGCTCCCAAGGTGCTGTCCCGGACCTGCAGAGTGGCTGAGCGGCTGGAGATGTCATTCTCTGCAAAGGGAGATACCCCAGCTATGTAGTCAGGGGCAAACACGTTGGTCTTCTGCCTGGCCTTGTGGGAGAGTCGCAGCTGGGGGAAGCGCTGATCCTCGGTCAGATGGGGGTTGATGGCATATTTGCCCCCTTTGGGAGTGGGTAGCGAGTACTGCAGTAAGAGGGAAGGCTGTTAGAACAGGCACATCTGCTCACAGTAGTCGCTGTCTACTGGTGTCCCTTCAGATCCCCATGCAGGCATACAGAACTGTCCTGCCCATTGTGTGCCAACAAGACATGTTTCTTATACCATGCTTACCTCAACGACACAAGAAAATATGAAGGCATCTTAACTATACACTCACTACACACTCTCAGCTCAACACAAAGGGACAGAGAACTTTACGAAGCTGCTGCCATTTCCCCAAAGATGTGCATTAGCAGCTCTGAAATGGCCACATGGCTTCTAGGCTGAGCAAAGACAAAACGACAGATCTTATGAATGGGGTGAGGTGGCCTGAATGCACTCTGTGGTGCTGGGTTCATGACCAGGGCTGCAACCTTTGCTACTAAAAAGCATTCTTAGCTGGGCATACTGGTACACACCCAAATCCAGGAAGATAGAGGTAGGAAGATCAAGGAGTACAAGGTCATCCTTGGTTATACAGCAAGTTCATGGTTGATGGGAGATGTCATTCTGTATATGTTTCTCATACTGGTTAATAATAAAGCACTGTTGGCCAATAGGAAAGGAAGATAGGAGGGACTAGGAGACAAGGAGGAAATAGGAAGTAGTAAGGAGGAGTCAAGATGGAGAGTCTGAAGAAAGCAGTATGCCGCTTGCTCCCCGGTAAGAGAAATACATAGATCAGCACAAATGGGTTAATAATTAAAGGCAGAGCTAGCCGATAAGAAACAAGTAACCAGGCCAACAGTATAATACCAAATACAAAGTCTCTGTGTATTATTTGGGGCTGGCGGCATGGCGGCGGGACAAGACCGGGCAGCAGGCGGAAAAACCGTACTCGTTACAAATGGCGCCCAACGTGGCTAGTAAGAACTTCCACTTAAAATTTAACAAAAGGTTAAAAAGGTTTCTTGGTAGCAGCATTTTTCTCAGTTGAACTCTGCTTTGCTAGAGACAAGCAGATATTCGCGCGGCTCCTTTAAGGGAAGATTCCTGACTCAGCTTAAGCGACAAAAAAAAAAAACCGCACAGCTTTTAAATAACTCTGCTAACAATTTATTGGTGTGTATGAGAGATGGCAATGGCAGTGACCACATCTCCAAGCTGGCAGCATGCTTTCTGGATGGCAGCACAGAGCAAGGCAGTGAGCACAACTTTCCGTGCTGGCGGTAAAAGTACCCGCCACCATCTTTGGTAAACCGTGGCTGACACAGCTATGACTTTCATTTTAGCAATGTTGTTGTTTACCAGATAAAAGACTTGTGGCCAGACGAAGATAAAGATTTACAGTAAAGACAGATTCATATTAAGAAAAACCTCTAAAGGTTTACAGTGTGTTTTAAAATATACGTAGACATGAAAAAAAATGGTTTTAAAGAGACAAAGAGGAACTGGGTGTTGTAGCACACGCCTTTAATCCCAGCACTCAGGAGACAGAGGCAAGCAGATCTCTGTGATTTGCAAAGTAAACCTGGTATGCAGAGTAAATTCCAGGACAGATAAGAGTTACACAGTGAAACCCTATGTCAAAAAAATAAAAAAAAAAAAAATAAAAGTAAAATAAGCAGAGTAATAATAAAGGCACGTAAAGATGAAAAGCTCAGAGAGAATCTGGTTACTGTATGCTATTGTGTTGTCTCTGCATTGTTTGACTGCTGAGAAAATAACAACTGATAAAGGAAATGCTGCTGGATTAATTCAATTTATATATTTTAAAAATGCTTTGACTCAAACATTTAAGTTCAAGGACAAGTTACTGGGGAAAAGGATTTCTATTTTTGTTTCAACAGGAAATAAAAAGCTGTGGATTCCTTCCAGACTAATGTGGTTTGATCAAGCCAGGCCCCCTGAAACAGCGTTCCTGGTGATCCAACATTCAAAATAGCTTGAACGAGGCAGCCTTGCAGACTACAGCCATCTTCTTAGGATCCCCACGACAGCGCCCCCTATCAGCAGGAAGTAGTTTGGAAAGAACGACGCCCAAATTCCCAAATACTGTTTATAAATGTTTGGTTTCATTTAAATGGACTTGGTTATAAATGGGTAATGATCACAACCAATATTCTTTTTAAAGGTAAAAAGGAAATTATGGTATAGATATGGATACTTTGTATTGGAATGTATTTTCATTTATTGATACAATTTAATGTCAATTTTGTGATGTGTATATTCTTTTGTTTAGGTATTGTGTTTATATAATTCATTCAGAAATGTATTGTATAATGTAGTACAGATTATAGATAATTACCTATGATAGTCAAAGCTTAGAGTTAAGTTAGCTAAGTTTTCAAGATACACAGAGATGTATATGAGATAGATAGAAATTCTTCAAACCTTTCAAAGACCTACAGAATATGGCATTTAAAATGGTTTAGGGTTTTTCTTGACAAAGAGGCACCAATGCTCCTGGCAACACCACCTGCGTCAGAAAGGAAGATGGACATTGAAGAAACTCGTTATGGAGTTTGCCTCCAATATGGCAAGACTAGCCATTTGGACAAGATACTCCTCTTGTCTGGACTGTTTGACTTTGTGATGTATAAACTGGACATGCAGGACCCACAGGAAAGTGACTTCTGATACAAGATGGACATTGCTACAGAGTTCCTGCTTCATGGAAGAATCTGCCAGACAGTCTGCAGGACACAGAGAAAAGTGACTGACAAACTGCCAATACAAGAAGACAGTTTAAAGTTTCCTGCTTTGCTGAATAGTCTGCCAGACACACTATGGCCTATGGGCTGAAGATGGAAGATTACAAAAGAACTTCGGGTGACCAGGCAGTGAGTTGTCTCTGTCATTTCTACAGTTTATATACTATCCTTCTGTGGTCTTTGATGGAGTTGAAGACAAATAGTTATGGTTATAGTTTTCCTTAGTTAGGTTTAAAGATAAGATACATATAGGACTTTAGATTCACAAATATAGGATAGATGATAGAATAGTTTCCTTTAATCTTGCTAAATGTTAATGGACTAAATATTGTTAACTGTGATTCTTATTGAATAACCATTGTGTTATATATTTTGCTGTGTTAAGGTTAAACCCCTTCTTTTTATTTAAACAGAAAAGAGGAGATGATGGGAGATGTCATTCTGTATATGTTTCTCATACTGGTTAATAATAAAGCACTGTTGGCCAATAGGAAAGGAAGATAGGAGGGACTAGGAGACAAGGAGGAAATAGGAAGTAGTAAGGAGGAGTCAAGATGGAGAGTCTGAAGAAAGCAGTATGCCGCTTGCTCCCCGGTAAGAGAAATACATAGATCAGCACAAATGGGTTAATAATTAAAGGCAGAGCTAGCCGATAAGAAACAAGTAACCAGGCCAACAGTATAATACCAAATACAAAGTCTCTGTGTATTATTTGGGGCTGGCGGCATGGCGGCGGGACAAGACCGGGCAGCAGGCGGAAAAACCGTACTCGTTACACATGGTCAGCAAGGGGTGGGTAATGTGTAGTTCAATTTGTTGAGTTTGTCTAGCAATGCATGGAAGCCCCAGGCTTGATCCCCAGTATCGCATAAACCAAGGGTGTTTGCACAAACCTATAATCCCAGCACTTAGAAGTTAGAAGCAGGAATAAACAAGAGACTTTGTCTCAAACCAAACTAAAACACATACCTTTACACCTTTCTCACACCCCTACACCACCATCACATACGCACCTCTTAAGAAAAAGGGCTACTCTAGGGCAGGGACAAGAGAGTTTGAAGGTCTGGAAACACTCTGCTATGCTGGAAGACTAAGAATGAGTGCAAAGAAGAGCTGACACACTCAAGAATGCAGTTTGAAAGGGCTCTCACTCGCCAAGCATGGAAATACATAAGCTTCAAAATGAGTGAAACAGAGCATAGCCTATAGCAGAAAACAAAAATACACAAAAGCAACCAGTGTGGTGGCACACCTTCAATTCCAGCACTAGGGAGGCAGAGGCAGGCAGGTCTCTGAGTTCAAGGCCAGCCTGGTCTACAATGGACAGTCAGGACTACACAGGGAGACCCTGCCTTGAAAGAGAGGGAAGAAAGGGAGAGTGCTGGAGGAAGACACCCAGTATCTATCTGCCTCTGGCCTCTGCCTGGGTGTGTACAATCACCTACACACACATGAAACAAGTAAGGACTGGACTGGAGCTCAGCAGTAGAGTGCTTGTGCGGTACATGTGAAACCTGGGTTTGATTTCCAGCACCACAAAAACAAAAACATAGAATTCAAAGTTCTTATTATTTCAAGTAGACTGTCCTGGAATACAGAACACTGAACAATATTAGAAAACAATTATGAAGTCTTTAATCGCAGCAGAGGCAGGCAGAACCCTGAGTTCCAGGAAGGTCGGGGCTACACTAAGAAACCTTGTCTGGAAAAACCAAACAACTCACACAAAAATTAACCAACCAACTAAACAGTACAATTATGTGATAATTAACAGTCATAACTGACCTAAACAATTATATAAGAGTAACTGTAACTTTACAGTGCAGAAACCTTAACCAAGAGAGAAGTGTCACCTAATTATCATGTACCTTCTGCTACAATGCAGAGAAGTGCCTAATAACACTGCCAAGAACACCAAAAACACAAAGAGAAACTGGTGCGGTATGCACACCTGCAATCCTGGCATTCAGGAGGCTGCGGCAGGAGGATGGCTGAGTTTGAGTGGGGCCAGGGTTCCAGGGGAGTGGCAGTCAGGCTCTGCACTCTCACACTCTCCCCACTGTGGCCCTTGCTCTTAACTGCTGAGCTACCTCTCAGAGCCTCCTCTCCTCTCGACACCCTCCCACTTCTGGAGACAGTTTCACTCTGTAGCCATGAGGGCCTCCAACCTTGTAGAAATTTTCCTGCCTCAGCCCCCTGAATGCTTGAATTCCAGCATGAGCCACTCACTACATAGCTGGCTGTTCTCTCCTGATCCATTCACACACAACCAACTCTCCTGTACTGTGCACTCACCTTCCGCCCTCTGCTTCACAGAGCTCAGACCCCTTACACTCCTTTAACTTTAAATGCCCTTTCAACTCCCGGACAAATCTGGTCTCTACTATGTTGCAGGTGACCCTTGCTGAGCTCTGCCTTTCCCAAATCAAGTGGCCACCACTGAACACTCACTGTTCAGAATCACTCCTTGTTTCTCCTTCCAATTCTTTAAGAAACACAAACATTGGTGGCTCAGAGGTTAAGGTCACTGGCTGCAATTCCCAGAAACCACATGATGGCTCATGGCAATCTATAATGAGATCTGGTGCCCTCTTCTGGCCTGCAGGGATACATGCAGGCAGAACACTGCAGATAAAAGAAACCTTAAAAGAAACACAGGTGGCTTGTTTTGCACTTTCTTCTGTGTACTGAGACCATGGGCTCCTGGCCCCACCAGTAGGTGACTAGGTCGGCACTCCTGTCCTCTGGTCTTTTTGGAAACTGGGTCTAGGAGCCCAGGCTGGCCTTGAGCTCTTGCTCTTCCTGCCTCTGCCCAGTGCTAGGATTCTAGGTGTGCTTCACTCTGTCCAGTTCCCCCTTAGTCATTTGATTCCGGGCACTTACCCGGAGGCCTCGAGGGTTCAGCACCTTGGGGTTCCGGGAGAAATGCATGTGCAAGGTACCATCATCATGGACAGTCACAGATACCTTCTTCAGGGTCTTGTTCCCACAATGCCCACAGAACACTCGGTTCATGTCTGACGTCGTCCTAGAGGAACACAAAGGCTGCACACTGGCACCATAGGCAGGAGACCCCACCCCCAGCCCGAGAAGGAAATGACGAGAAATACAGAAAAGGCTAAATTTTGTTATACCCATCTTCCAGAATATAAAGGCTAGCCTCATGTTAAAGGAAAATGCCGTTCAAGGGCAGCTGCCTCCCTTAGAGGGAAAAGGGCAATGCACTGAATTGTGGCCAGGAAAGAAGAGTGGGTTGTGGGTACATTAACAAAGCACAACCCAATAGGCAGGCATTATTCTACGAGCTTAACCTGACGTTGACACTACCGCTATTTCACAGATTGGAAAACCAAGGCCAAGTACTTTGGTCAAGGCCAGAAAGCTGGGAAGCAGCAGGATGGGTGCAGCATGGAAGTTCCTTGTGGTCACTTCTGCTCTAACCCACCTTCTCCCCAAAGCCAGCCGGGTGTGAAGTTAGGAGGTGGCAGGAGTTAAGTGAACCCCACAGGGAACACTATAGTAAGCTGCTCTGGCTGACAAACGTGAGGTACTGTCCCCCACTTCATTCATTCAGCTCCCATAGAGGACCCAGGAAAAGTTGCCACCATCAACTTGCCACCAGGTGGTCTCAGCCATCTCTCAGAGGGTCTCCACAACCCTAAGGGAAGAGGCAGAGCTGGGTCAAAGGGCTGGAGAAGACAAACCTCTTACCTACAAGTTTCCTGAACCTCAACAAATGCCTCCACATGGTGCTATGGACTAACTACTCATGAAAGCAGACAAGCAGACAAGCAGCCACCGCCACACAAATAGGGAAACTACTACACGAGTTTCTAAAAATGAATGTGCCCTCTGTCAATGGGGGGGGGGGGGCAGATACCAGGAGACTTTGTCCAGGGGCAATAATAGCAGTAGGCTTATGAAATAAGAAGCTGACAGGAGTCTTACGCATTTAAGACTAAGAACCATTACACTAAGGCACAGAAGACTACAGTAGCAACTCTAAGAAGTGTCACGGTGTCACAACTGTAAAGGTTGTAGTGGGATATTCACTTTGTCTCCTTCTGTGGCACTGACTATGCCCATTGGAGGGTGGAGCCAGGGGTGGAAGTGACCGGTGGAACTAGGTCTGAGGAGGAGCCGGGGAACATGGGACACAGAGAGTAGAGCATCCGGTGGAACCTGCTGGTGTTCATCTGCCTAGGTTGTAAGTTATTTCTCCCTGAATAAACATCTATTCGGACTATCTGTTTACCCTGATCCTTATTAAACCATGATAGTAGGTGGCTATTATTGTCTAGAAGATTAAGTCCATCCCAGGAAGCTCCAATCTCATCAAGAGTACTTCAGGCCCAGCAAAACACCTCAATGCTTCAGCATCATCCCATACCAGGCTTCTGCAAAGCCAGGCTCCAGATGACCTACAAGGATGTCCACAGACCCAGTCCACAGATGCAAAATGGCCCTAAGTCTGCCCATAAATCCTGGGAACATATTTTACAGCAAGGCTGTGGCAGTGTCTGGCACTCCAACCAGCCTCCAGGGTCTGTCCACAAAACACCAGCCCCACCCACCCCACCAAAGAACAGGCAACAGAAGGGAGCGGTCAGTCAACTTGAGAGTCCATCGAAGGGAACATCTCCTTTATGCCAAATGCCCTGCTAAATCCCTATGATTTATGTTCCTAGTTCCTCACAACAAATCTTTCAATTTAAAGACATCTTTAAAGAACTAAGAAGGCAACTAACTGTTCACAGACAGAAAGCATCTAGATGTGAACCAATGTACTCTGGATTAACAGACATAAATAAAGTAGCCGTGTCAACCACAAAGAATCCCCATGTAACCATCACTCAGCTTGACTATCAACTCACAGCTATCATGCTTCATCTCTACCCTTTGCTCCATCCTCCTATGTCACATGGGAGCAAATCCCAGACCCCTTTCCATCTATACAGTCCAGCGTGTGACCTCTGTTCCAGAACCCACATCCCTAACTCTAGGCTCCTAGGAGACATGCTTGGCAATGTGTCCCAGGGATTTTAGTGTAGTGGAGACAGCAGATAGGCCACAGAGAACACCAAGGTGGAAGGAAAAGGTTCTCTTCCAAGGAGCCATCAGCAGGGACAGGATCAGGAAGATGGGTCCAAACCCTCAACCACATACTTGAAGCAGCCATGACAGCGTAAGATGTAGCTCCGGGCCTCTCGGATCAGCATGCCATTCACTGCCAACACGTGCAGCCCCATCTGAAGCAGAACATTCTACAACCAACAAGTTAAGGAAGGACTGAAATCATCTTCTTTGACATTAATTTGGCAATAATTTTTACACAATTATGGGAATCTAACTTTCTAGTCTAATTTATAATCCCTGGCTTTTGTTAGAGAATACCTGTGAAGCCTGGATGGGAACACAGGGACCTGAGTTACCAGGCAATTCCAAGAACAGAGACTGGTCTCATTGGCAAAAGCCTCTCAACAGATTTTTTATTTTTATTTTTTCCTGTTGGGGAAAATATTTTCATTTTGGGGATTTAAGTCCTGTTCATTTCCTTCAGAGGTCCAAACATAAAAAGGCACCAACTGCTCATGTTAAGAATTTAAAAAAAACACAAATAAATATCCAGCACCATCAAAATGGCTCACTGGGCACTGGGTAAGAGTGCTTGCTACTAAACATGACACCTTGAGTTTGATCCCTGGCATCAACACAGTGAACAGAAATAGATGACTCCTACAAATTATCCTGACTTTCATACACACTCTGGCACATGAACACTAAGTAAGAAATTGTAGGGCTGGAGAGATGGCTCAGAGGTTAAGAGCATTGGCTGTTCTTCCAGAGGTCCTAAGTTTAACTCCCAGCAACCACATGATGACTCACAACCATCTATAATGAGATCTGGTGCCCTCTTGTAGTGTGCAAGAAGGTAGAACACTGTATACAATGTAAATAATCTTTAAAAAAATTAATTTAAAAATTTAAATATTCTTTTTACCCTACGCATATGTGTAGGGTGTGGGGTCACTGATGTGATGGGCTCCCCTCAAACAAAATGAACAGTCAAGTTTACAGAAGCTCTGTACCCCTTACCCCACCATGTTGGCCTGGGTCTACTACCCCACACACCTGCATGGCGAAGTCTGTGGTCACACAGCCAACCCGTACATCCTTCGGGATATCACACTGCTCCAACTCCTGCTGGATCTGCTTGATATTGCTGGGGGTTATCCACCCACCCCCATCGTCATCACTGTCTTCAAATTCATCTTCTTCTTCCTCCTCTTCCTCCTCTTCCCTTCTGTCAATCTGAAACATCAACAGACACTCCCAGGTTAGGATGCTTGTGGAGAGGCTCTGACATCAATAGGAGACTATAAGCCAGGGCCTTACCAGCAGCTCCTGCAGCTCCTGATCAATATTAGGCAGAGGGTTCCTCCAGAACATGAAGGAGCTGAATTCCAGGTCCTCAGGCCCATCAGACGGGTGGTCACGACCCACTGTTTCATGTGAGGGTTTAGGCTGAGGTTAAAATAAAACAATTTTTTTTTTTTTTTTTTTTATGGGCAGGGGAATGAACCCTGGGCTTTACATATACCAGGTAAGCACTATTCCAGGGAGCAGAATAATTTAAAAACATGAAAATGAGACGTTTAAAGGCAAAACCACTCTGTATGCAAGCTGGGCCTGGAAGCTCTAGAATAATATGCCCCTGGCCCAGGTCAATTTGCTTTGTTATCAAGAGTAGGCATGCTATAGAAAGGAACTCAAGGATCAGGGATCCTGAAAGGAGTTACCTTGGAGGGCAGATGGAAACCAGAAATGTGCAGAGGGGTTTCTGGGTGCTGAATTGAAGAGCTTACTTTAACCTTAAAAAAAAAAAAAAAAAAAGAAAGAAAGAAAGAAAGCCAGCATTGAGAAAGGGCAGTTAGTTTAAAAATACAACATTAAGGCTAATTAAACAAAAAGCAAGCCCTTTTCCCCTAGTTAATTGAATATAAAAACTAGAAGTAACAAGAATATAGACAAAATGACAACACTCAGACACCCTGACAGCAATATCAAGTGCTTTTAGGGTGCCCTAATGCCACAGAGCTGAACTGCTGTGCCTCTCCTGCAATGTCCTAAAGCCCTTGGAGACAGTTCACTTAGTCCTGGTCCCGAACTCACTATGGATGACTCTGAACTTCTCTCTCATCTTCCTGTCTCTACCTCTGAAGGCACGGGATTATCAGAGTGCATCACAAGCCTGTTTATGAGGTGCTGGGGATAAAAGCTAGAGGCCCTGTGCACACTGTGCAACATTCTACTAACTGCACCCATGCTAAGGCTTTTGACACAAACGAAAATGAGTCTGTTTTGAGGCTTTTAAACTTGACTGAAAAACAAGAAAGGGCATGGTATCTCTGAATAGTATAGGAATATGAGCCCAGTGCATACCTATTATCCCAGCTTTGGGAAGGCAGGAGGATCAAGAATTCAAGGTCAGTGCTGGAGATGTGCTGAGCAGTTAGGAATACTTCTTGTTCTTGCAGAAAATCCAAGTTTGTTTCCCAGCACCCACATGACCAAAGCCCTCTTCTAAACTCCCTGGGCACTGGGTACAGACATGATAAACATACATATACATAGGCAAACTGAACACACATACATGTAGGCAAAACACTCTTACACCAAAGTGTCACTTTTCTTTTTCTTTTCTTTTTTTTTTTTTTTTTTTTTTTTTTTTTATTTTATTTTATTTTTTTTTTGGTTTTTCGAGACAGCGTTTCTCTGTGGCTTTAGAGGCTGTCCTGGAACTCGATCTAGACCAGGCTGGCCTCAAACGCACAGAGATCCTCCTGCCTCCTGCCCTCTGCCTGCCAAGTGCTGGGATCAAAGGCATGCGTCATTTTTTTAAATGAACCTTTAAAAAAAATCCAGAGTAAAAGGTCATGCTTGGTTCTAGCAAGTTCCAAGCTAACCCGGGCTACAGAAATTATTTCAAAAAAAAAAAAAAAAAAAAAAAAAAAAGAGGGTGAATACATTTGCTAAATGTATTAAGTATTATATATAAACTTCATTTGGATTTTCACCAAAGCAAACTATCAATAAATACTTACAGAATGGGAAAATGTGAATACTAATTGGATATTTGGTGACATTAGGAGTCCATATTAATGTTATACAGTCCAATTATGGCTCTGGGTTTTTTTTTTTTTTTATGTTTGAGGCAGGGTCTAATTTAGCCCACGCTCACCTTACACTCATTTTATAGCCTAATCTACCTTGAACTTCTGATCATCCTGCCTCCACCTTCAGAATACTGGGACACACACGAACTCCCATTCCCAACATATACACTGTCAGAGATTGAAGCCAGGGCTTCACACATGTGAGGCAAGCCCTCTACCAAGGGAATAACACCCCCACCCAAGTTATTATTATTTTAAGATTTATTTAGGAACAGAAAGATGGCTGAGCAGGTAAAAGGACCCATACAGTGAAGGGAGAAAACCAAGTCCAGTAGGTTGTCCCCTGACCTCTCAAGCAAGCTATGGTATGCTCTCACACACAAAATAAATGTAACGTACAAAAATAAAGAACGAACGAACTAGGTGTGGTGGCGCACACCTTTGATCCCAGATGTCTGGGAGGCGGAGGCAGGCGAATCTCTGTGAGTTCTAGGACAAACAAGACTACATAGTGAGATCCTGTCTCAAAAATCAAAAACAAAAAAGGGTCCAGGTCCAAAAGCCCATGCCTTTTAAGTGAATTAAAATAAAGCTCTATTGTGTGAGAGACAGGAAGTACAGATGTGTGGGTACCACAGCACACAGATGTGAGTGAGGTCAGAGGACAAGATTCCTGGACCTGCTTTCTCTTTCTGCTGTGGTTTGTTTCAGGCAGGGGCCGGCTTGTTTCTGCTGCTGCACTATAAGACTGAGATTTCTACCAATTCTCCTTCTCTCTCATTTTGTAATAGGAATGCTAGGATTGTAAATCCCAGTCACTGCATCTACCTTTTAACATAGGCTCAAATCTGGGTCACCAGGTTATACAGGTTCTAGCCCTCTGAGGTTTTGTTTTTATTTTAATAAGAGACAGAGGAAAAGATACACACACACACACACACACACACACACACACACACACACACACACACACACACACACATCACTGAAACAGCAAATGGACTCCTAATTGAAAATACTCATGGCTGTGGCTCTACATAAATTAAAAGCTCTATGGATATTGATGTAGAGGTGAACCACACTAAGGACACTGCAGCTATCACTATTATTCCCACTTTCATGTACGACATAATAAAACATGAATTAAAAACAAACCTGGGGCTGGAGACATAGCTCAGTGGTTAAGAGCATTTAGTGCTCAATCAAAGACTAGAGTTCAGATTCCAGGCCCATGTTGCAGGCTAAGTGGCAGACAAATACCTGTAATTTCACTCCAAGGGGTGTAATGCTTTCTTCAGGCCTCCAAAGGCATGCCCTCCACCCTATCACCCCAAAAGCTCATATACTCACATAAACATAAAAACCAAACCAAACAATCCAATCCCCCTGATTTGATTTACCTTTTCTGGTTCTTGTTTTAAATGAGACACTCCAACAAATTCTGCTTCTAATTGATAAGTCAGAGCCAGTACTTGGATATCTGTGGCAGAGAGGCTGGGATAGTCTCCAGTTTTCTTCGAAAATTCAGTCACTGCAAGTAAACAAGAGATTTCCAACTTTAGTTAAGGACAAAAACTGACAGGTCCTTGGATAACCACAGTATCAAAAGAACCTATGTAGGGGATGGAGACGGCTCTACAGTTAAGAGCACCTGCTGCTCTTCCAAAGGACCCAGGTTAAATTCTCAGTGTCACATGATGGCTCACAACTATCTAACTCCAGTTCCAGGGGCTCTGATGCCCTCTCTGGCCTCTGAGAGCATCAGGCAGACACATGGTGCATGAGTACACATGCAGGCAAAACTCCTACTCACATACAACAAAACAAAAAGCATGGGACATTGAGGTGGCCTAGTAAAGGTGCCTGACAGCAAATCTAGCCACCTGAGCTTGATCCCTAGGATCTACATGATGGAAAGAAAACAAATTCAACTCATTTGAACTGTATCATGTACAAAAAAAAAAAAAAAAAAAAAAAAAAAAAACCCAATTTTCAAAGATCTCAGAATCAATATCCCATCTGGGAGTGGTGGCTCATTCCTGTTATCCCATCCCAGCACTCAGGAGATGGAAGATAGTAGGATCAGGAGTTAAGATCATCCTCAGCCTTATAAAAAGTTCAAGGTCAACCCAGGATACTGAGACCTTGTTTCAAAAGACCACTACCAAGCTAACCAAAGAACCAAACAAAAACAAGACTCAATATGACATGAAAACTACAACGTCTATTTTCTGAGCTTTTTCCTTTTTGTGACTGAAAAGTCTATTTGGCCAGGTGCTGATGGCACACCCTTTTAATCCCAGCACTCAGGAGGCAGAGTTCAAGGTCAGCCTGGACTACAAAGTTAGTTCCAGAACAGGATCCAAAGCTATACAGAGAAACCTTGTCTCAAAGAGAAAAAACAAAAGTCTGTATTTACCACCACCAAGCCACTCAACAGGCAGCTTTAAGGCAAAACTCTCATCAGATCAAGGAATAGGATAAGAATAACAGAACAACAAGAAAATCATCTAAGTCAGCATAGTTTTTTCCCATGATGAGAGTTCCTCACTGAAGCTCTGGCTTTATCAGAAGCCTCTTCTTTCTTAGCTCTAAAAGTCTTTAGCTCTAAGTAAAACAGCTAGATTAACAGAATACATTAGAACAGAAAAGTTAACTGAAATCATGGTCTGTGATAAAACCCAAAGAGGGTTGCTGTGCAATAATGGACAGGTTTTCAAAGATTTTAAGAACTGCACACCTAGCCGGGTGTTGGTGGTTCACGCCTTTAATCCCAGCACCCAGGAGGCAGAGGCAGGCAGATCTCTGTGAATTCAAAGCCAGTCTGGTCTACAGAGTGAGTTCTAGGAAGCCGCAGCTGTTACACAGAGAAACAAAACAAAACAAAACAAAAAGTTGTTTACTATTGAGATGAGGTCTCACTTTGCAGCCCTGGCTGACTTGGAACCTGACTCCAGAGGGCTTGGACTAAAGTCAGGTGACTTCACACTGGGCCCATCTTTATTTTCAGTAAGACAGAGTGTCTCAGTATCTAGCTCAAGATGGCCTCTGCCTCCCCAGTGCTGAGATTACACCCCCCACGACAGCTGCATACCCTTTTTTAAATTAAGGCTGCTTCTCTGTTCAAAACTATAATCACCCTACATATAAGACCTCAGATCTATGTTCTTAATTTTTAAATTTCTTTAGTTTCTGGCAGTATTCACTGTTGTGGTGGAAGCTTCCCCCCAGCCTTTGGCATCCATTACCCAAAGAGTTCGAATGTAATGGAGGAAGTTCCACTCAAACCTCCTCCCTTATTTCCCTCCAAACCCTGCATCAAACATCTCAGAAAGCCTGCCAAATGATGACTACTCTTTCCCTAGAGATGCTCAAGACATCTTCCACAGGGTATTTAAATTGTGCCCCAGAAAAGAGACGTGTGCTGTGGTTTTCCAGCCTCTTTCCCAGCTCCTCTCTGGGGGGCTGAAAGGCCGTTCGGGAGCATTGTATCCATTAAACATGGTTCTAATTGTTTGATTTGGTCTGACTTGGATTGCTACATCGAGAGAGAATTAATGGGGGTGTAGAAATTTCACTCAAGTCAGAGCCTTCTGTGTACTTGGCAAGAACTCTCCCACTGAGTTCTCAGGAATCTAAACACCTTTACTGAAAGCTTCCAATGTGCCAAGAGGCATATTCGTCTTAAGGCCTACAGTGCTGAGAGGCAGACACTGTTGTGATAAAGCTTGAACAGAACCTTGCACGGATTCCATGGTGGGAGAGGGTGACGGGGGGGGGGGGGGGGGGGCTGACAAACACTCCAGGCAGATAGAGCGTAAGTGAGAAGTTTTATTAGAAAGGGGAGGGAGGGGGAAGGAAAGATAAGAGAGGTAAAGAGACACAGAGAGAGGACATAAAAGAAGAGGGAGACAGGAAAAGTCCTGTCTGCCTCAGGGGAACAGCGGGAAAGAGTAGACTGCAGGAATAAGTGGGCAGAGGTCTTTTAAAAGGGTCCCTTGCATCTGCGTGCAGATCAGTACTCAAGGAACCCTGGGCCGACCAGGGTATTGCCTGAGTGCTTTCCACCAGGTGACGGGCAGGCCAGCATAATGCCGGAGTCCTTACAGACACTATTACTATTCTCAATTCACAAAGCCTGGAGTGTGTGATGCAGCCGGGGGCACACTGCTGGTTTCTATTAAAGCAGGCTGAATCGACCGTCTCTAACAAATGCTCTGACTGGCTCAGGGGCAGTCTGTCTCCACTCTGGGTCCAGCCCCCGACGAGGCTGGCCTGGGACACTCACCCAGCCGCACGTACTCCGGCAAGGGCTCCTTGAACCGCAGCTCGTAGGGCAGCACTGCCAGCCGCCTGCGCGTGGCCTTGTCCCGAATCTCTCTGACCACCTCCCGAATGGTGTAGATGTTCCTTCCGATGTCCTGCGGACAGACCGACCCAGTGAGCACACTCGCCTGACCCCACCGCTCCCCTGGAGGGTCTGGAGCCCAGGCCCCCCGCCCCTCGGTGGAATCTCCTGTACCTGCAGCGGCGCGTCCCTCAAGAAAGCTCCGGCGTCAGCCACAACGTGCTCCACGGGCGCCATGCTGGCGGGTGTGGACATGCCGCGCATGCGCACGGAGCCTGCGTTGTTGCCTACGTTTACAAAGCAGACCTCCCCGGACCGGAGGTACAGCCGCTGCGACTTAGCGGCGCCCCCTGGTGGGCACAACTCACTGCTTCAGGACTATGTGCGCATAGGACTAGCTGCGCCCGCCAGGAAGTAGTAGTTTGCCCTGTCAGGGAGTGTGTGAATGATTACATTGGGGAGGCGGGGGAAACACCTAGGATAACTTGCCTCGGGATACACTCATAGAACCTTCTTTAATTTTAAAATATCCACGACTGAAAATCAGTAGTTAGAGAAAGAAACAATCTATCACAACAAATCTATGACTCTGCCAGATAACCTCCAAAAACTGACTTGGAACGACTCTTAAAATCCGTTATGCTATTTTGCCATTGCTTATGCAGCCCTATTTCATTGTGAACACCTTGGAGCAACTGCTGCACTACTCAATACCCTTTCCCCACCTCCTTAAGCAAGGCACATGATTTTCTAGAAAATAATTCCTTGCTGAACTGAACAGAAGGGATATGAATAACTTCCAAATTTCCCTTTCAAATGAGATTAGGAGATCTGGACTACTACAAACTGGCAATGCTGATCTGAGTTTTTATCATCTGCTTTCGTTTAAACTGTTCTGTTTTATTTATCTACCCTGTATCAAAAATCCTTCAGTACCCTTGATGGTACCCATTATAAGGGTCCCAAAAATCTTCTGCACCGCCAAACATCTTTTTTGTTTGTTTGTTTGTTTTTTGAGACAGGATTTCGCTGTGGCTTTGAAGGATGCCCTGGAACTAGCTCTTGTAGACCAGGCTGGTCTTGAACTCACAGAGATCCGCCTGCCTCTGCCTCCCAAGTGCTGGGATTAAAGGCATGCGCCACCAATGCCCGGCACCCCCCCTCAAACATCTTTAAACACTTTAAATTACATTATTTGTTGGGGGGGGGGTCATGCCAGGCGCTCATGTGAGGGTCCAAGGACAATCATGAGTCAGTTCTCTCCTGTCAAGAGAATCCTAGAGATGGAACTCAGGTCATTAGTCTCTGCCAGTGAAGGTACATTCTCCTCGTTCCCACAGGGTCTCACTTTGTAGCACTAGTTGACCTCATACTCAGAAATCTTCCTACCTCTGCCTCCCAAGCCCTGGGATTAAAGTCATACACCACCACACCTACACCCCAAGTATTTTATATCAATAGTTTTTTAGCCCTCAGTCACTTTAATCAACAGAATTTCCAAGTGCTACCTGTTCTGAAATGATATCCCACCCAGTTGAAGATTATCCAACTTTTTTTAATGATAATATATTTTATTTAAATTTGAAACAAGCTTGTTTTACATGTCAATCCCTCACTCTCCACTCTCCTGTCCTCCCCTGTTCCCCTCCCAACCCTCATCCCCTTCCTGCTCTCCAGGGAGGGTGAAGCCTTCCACTAAGGATTTTCAAAGTCTGTCATTTCATTTGTCTAGACAAGAGATCTCTCTCTGTGGAATGGGCTCCCAAAGTCCATTCGTATACTAGATATTAGATATAGACCCAACAGACTGTCCAGTCCTCCCATCTAACACCCACATTCAGGGGGTCTGGGTCAGTCCTATGCTGGTTTTCCATGGGGTCCATGAGCTCCCCCTTGACTATCCAACTTCTTAGATCATTTTTTTTTCAGTGTTTTGTCATCTGTTTCTCTGTAGGATCTGACTTTGCCTAATGTCTCCTCTTTCTGAATGTATCTGATTTTGCCGATTCTTTATCACCCTAATCTTCCTGCCTTCGGATGCTTCTCATCTTCCTTCATCAGATTCTCTTCTTGCCCTGAGAATTATAGTACCTTCTTCCTGCCTTTGCACCCCAATCAATTCCAGTTCTTTTCTCCAGCAATACTACCTACCTGCCAGATATTAGTGATCATGGTATACAAACTCTATGCATATGTATGTTTCTTTTATTTATATGTATATGTTTAGGGTGTCAGATCACCTGGAGCCGGAGTAATCTTATTCTGGTCTGGTCTTAACAGCCCTAGAGAACACTTTCTAAACATTTATGCCCAATCCGAATTCCCAGTCCACATTTTCTAGAAATTCTATCTGAAAATATCTGGCATCTGCACTTGTTAGAGTTCCAATGGTTATTATCATAGTCTTGCTGTTTAGCTCTGGCTGGCCTTCAGTGCTCATAGTACAGTAATGTGCTACCACTTCCTCTTTTAATTTAATTTTTAAGGCATTACCAACAAAAGCATTCAAGGTAAGAATCTCTGAGCCATCCATGTCTCTTCCCCCACCACCAACCAACGTTCACTACAGTACGTGGACATCACTCTGAAATGTTTGTCTGGACCATTCCTCCTCCCTTCTCATTATTCTAATCAAGTCCTCCCTTCTCATTATTCTAGTCAAGTTCCTATCTCTTTCCCAGATTCCTCTATCTGCGATGGGTTTTCCATGTGGACCTAAACAGTGAATGAAGACACATAAATAGAATCTAGTAAAAGGGACCCTAGGGTGTAGACCCTAGATAAAGAATGATCTGTAAAGCTAGTCCTGGAGGCCCATGAACACAATACTTCCCATCTGAAGTGGGGGTGGGTTCACAGTCATCCTTAGTTACATATCTAGTTCACTAGCCTGGGCTACACGTGATTCTGTTTTAGATAAATGAAAGGAAAGGAAAGAAGCTGATTTGGGTCGGGGTTTCTAAAACTCATGTGGGAACCCCTGGAGAGCTGGAACAAACAAGTTCACTGGGTCTCTGACTTGGTAGGTGTGGACAGGATCTGAGAAGTGGCCCAGGGCCATACTCTGAAACCCTGGTTTAGAAGATTAGTCTGGAAAGGGAAGATTAGCTTTTTAATACTTAATTTCTATCAAACATTAAGAACACTTACTTATGGGACTGGACAGATGGCTCAGTGGTTAAGAGCTCAGACAATGCCAGGAGGTGGTGACACATGCCTTTAATCCCACCACTAAGGATCTGGTGGAGCTCTGTGAGTTCCAGGCCAGCCTGGTGTACAGAGTGAGTTCCAGGACAGTCAGAGTGACACATTGAACCCCTGTCTCAAAAAAAACAAAAAAGAAAAAAAAAAAAAAAAAAAAAAAAGGAAAAATGCTAGGAGTGCTCTTTCAGAAGACCAGAGTTCAATTCTAGCACCCTCATTAGATGGATCACAAACACCTGAAACTGCTACTCTTGGGGGAAGTGATATTGCACTCATGTGCACACACCAACACAGACACACAAATATACACATAGTCAAAAGATTTTAAAAATGTTTATGTAAAAGTTTTGCTTACATGCTGGGTGGTGGTGCACTAGTTTAGTCCCAGCACTCAGGAAGAAGAGGCAGGCGTATTTCTGTGAGTTTGAGACCAGCCTGGTCTACAGAGCTAATTTCAGGACAGCCTCCAAAGCCACAGAGAAACCCTGTCTCATAAAACAAACAAACAGACAAGCAACAACAACAACAAAAAATTTGCTTACAGCGGGGCCGGTGGTGGTGCTTGCCTTCAATCCCAACACTTGGGAAGCAGTGGCAGGTGGATCTCTATGAGTTTTACGCCAGTCTGGTCTACAAAGTGAGTTCCAGAATAGCTAGAGCTACACAGGGAAACCCTGTCTCGAAAAATAAACAAAAAATCCTTACACTTTATAGTATTCTTCAATTTAAAAAATATTTATTTTATGCATAAGGGTGTTTTGCCTACATGTATGTCAATGTACCACCAGACTGATGCCTGTGGAGGCCAGAAGAGGGCATTGGACTTCCTAGAACTGGATTTACTGAAGCTTGTGAGCTGTCATGTGGGTGCTGGGGATCAAATCCAGGTCCTCTACAAGGGTATGGAATGTTCTTAATCACTGAGACATCTTTCCAGTCTTGTTTTTTTTTTTTTTTTTTTTTTTTAAAAATCATTTTAATCTCTCTTAATTCTCTATAGTTTTGAAGGGTCATTTATATAATAATAACACTATGGACTGGCCGAAAAATACCTATAAATAATGATATTGTGTTTAGTATCTAAGGGAATTTAGAGTTGGATTTTGAAGGACCACATAGGAAGACACTGAGGTGTGATAGTCCAAGAGAGTATTTGAGGATTTGAGTATGGTACAGGGTATCTGGGAGAATTTCTCAGAAGTAAAGTAAGACCCTGGGACAATTTTGTGGAATTTTTATAAAAATAATGAATGAATAAATAAAATTAAAATATTAAAACACTAATAGCAAAACTGTGTCTTTAAAACTTTTACAGATGTTAAAGAGATGACTCAGACCAATTGCTATTCTTGCAGAGGACCTGAGTTTGAAAACAGAATTTTTCAATGAAAGGCTTACACTAAGTTACGGGCAGGAAGCTGAAGTGGGAGGATCAGGAGTTCAAAGTCACCCTCTATTGCATATGAGTTTGAGACCTGCTTGGGCTACGTGGAACCCTACCCCCCCCAACCAATAAAGAGGTTGGATATGGGTGTCCAAGTATGTAATACTGTAATGCTCTCACTTTGAGGTACCAAGTAGGAGGACCTCTGCAAGTTGAGGCCAGCCTGCACTAAACACTGATTTCCAGGTTAGCTATGGTTACAGTGAAACCCTGACTTTAAAAAAAAAAAAAAAAAAAAAAGTAAAAAGGTGGGTGTAGTGGTGCATACCTTTAGTCCCAACATACATTTAGGAGGCAGAGGCAAGCCTACCTGGTCTACATAGTGAGTTCCAGGACAGCTAGTCCTACATAATGAGACCCTGTCATGAAAAAACAAAGGAACAAACCAAAACAACAACAGAAAAATTGAGATGTGGTGGTACAACCTCAGTCCGAATCCTAGAAAGGCAAAGGCTGGAGGACCACTTCAAATTTTAGGTCTGAGACATAAAAGAGTTCCAGACCAGCCAGGGCTAGAGTGAGACCATGAACTGGAGAGATGGCTTAGCTGTTAAGAGCACTGACCACTCTTGCAAAGTACTGTGAGTTCAATTCCCAGCACCCACATAGCAGCTCATCATTATCCTTATC